GCAGTTTGCAGGATTAGTTAGTTAAGAGGCGGCAGTGACTATAGGCTAATAAGAATGTGCATTAGGTTACTGGCATAGATTCATTTTTCCAGCCCCTTTCCCAAAAATGCCTTATTTTCCCCATTACTCCAGCAAGTGTGCTTACAGAAGCTAGAAATAGCAGAGTTACTTCTATCAGGGAGGCTATCTGATTTAGTTACTTCCTGAGATTAACAGAACAAAGGAACATCTGTGTTTAGTGGCTTACAAAATAGAGGTTATGGAACAAGATGGAGTGCCTATGGTTCAGATGGAGGGCAAGGGGCAGGATGGAGTCAGTCCTTTTAAGGCCCATTGTTTATGTGCATTACATCTAGTTCTGTTAATGTCAGGCGATCCTTGGTTATCCAAACATAAAATGAGCATGTATAAGTCAACAGTTTTAAGCAGTTTCCCTTGAAGCTGAGGTGGTCTGTTTCCCCAATTACTGATTCCTTTAAAGGGACAACTAACAACAACCTTGGTGTGAGCAGATGAATCAATGGAAGCAAAGATTGGAGAGCAGAGGGTGGGACTAACAATTTGTCAAAAACAGCAAGCATTACTCTGAAATATTTCCTTCATGGAGAAACCAAGATGGCGGCATAGGATAGACACCCGAATGCAGCCTACCATAACAAATTTGAATTTAGAACTGGAAAACTGGGGAGGCATTGCCCTGAAGCGCTGGACGGCTAGCTGAGAGGAGGCTCTGCCATCTGGGAAGGAGAGAGAAGGCACGCTGAACCTCAGGAAATGTGAAGGTACGGAGAACTATGCACCAGAAAAGGCGCTGGCTTACTCCTGGCGCAGGAAGAGAGAGGGCCAGACCTAGATTGCTGCTGGCTTACTCCTGGCACTCGGAGAGGGCGAGCCAGGATGAGTTCGCTACTGGCTTACTCCCGGCACGCGGAGAGGGCAGACAGCTAATGAGCGGCTGGCTTTCTTGTTTGAGAGGAAAACAGAATCACCCTATTGTTCTGATAGACAGCCCCAGACAGGGAGAGGCCAGACTGTCAGGCAGTGGGCAGAGATCTCTCGGAGGTGTGTGAAACCAGAGGCCATTACTGCGGGACTTGGGAGGAGTTGAAGGGAAAACAAAGTTTGTCTGCACCAACCCGAGACTCCACCCCATCAGGAGAGCACAGAAGCTCTCCAAGAGGCTGGCTTTCTCTAAGGAGGGACTGGCCAGAATCCAAAGCTTGTCTGCACCTTTACCAAAGAGGTGCATGCGCCTGTAAGCAATCTTCCGAAACTCACCGCGAACAGGACTTTTCTAAGGCGAGACTGACAGGGAACCAAAGATTGTCTGCGCCACACCGAGACCCTGCCCCATCCAAGTGGAGTACAAAAGCCCTCCGAGCTGAGACACTGCTGATCCTTGCAGCCCATTGGCTTGGAGATCAATGCTTCCCAGTGATACCAAAAATAAGCAAGGCTTAACAACAAGACTGCAAACACAGCCCACAAAGGGCTACACCAAGACTGTCCACCGCTGGTAACTGGGAAGGCTGTGCTACTGGGCTCTACCAGAACACCTAGCACACAAAACTATTCCATCAAATCAGGGAAACAACTAAAATGCAGACAAGAGGAAGGACTCAAAGGAAGGCGATGGAGGAAAAGAAAAGATTGGACATTGAGTTCAAAACTACAGTTATAAGGTTATTCAACAATATCCTAAAAAATTTAAATAAATAAATAAATAAATAAATAAATAAATAAATAAATAAATAAAAGGCCGATAAAATAAATGAGACCTATGAGAATATGAAAAGAGCACAACTAGAAATAATAAGAGATCAACTAGAAATGAAGAAAACATTGTCTGAAATAAAAAATATTATACAAAGTCCTAAAAACAGACTGGAAGATTGCAAGAATCAAGACAAAGATTTAGAACACAAAGAGCCAGAGGATACTTCTCTGCAGAAGCGAGAAGATAAGAGAACCCAGAAAGTTGAAGACAGTGTAAGAAACCTCTGGGAAAATTTCAAGCGAACCAATATCAGAATTATGGGGATTCCAGAAGAAAGAGAGCAAGATACCGAAAGAATACTGGAAGAAATAGTGACAGAAAATTTCCCCCACCTGGGGAAAGAAATAGACTTACGAGTCCAGGAATCCCGCAGAACCCCAAACAAAAGGAATCCAAAGAGGACTACACCAAGACACATCATAATTAAAATTCCAAGAGCAAAAGACAAAGAGAGAATATTAAAAGCAGCAAAAGAAAAGCAGGTAGTTACTATAAATTCACATATGATTGTCAGCTGATTTCTCAACAGAAACCATGCAGGCCAGATGGGAATGGCAAGAAATATTCAAGGTGATGAATAGCAAGAACCTATAGCCAAAAATAATCTACCCAGCAAAGCTATCACTCAGAATCGTAGGCCAGATAAAGAGCTTCACTAATAAAAAAAAAAGCTAAAGAAGTTCATCACTGCCAAACCAGAATTATATGAATTGCTGAAGGGGGTTATTTAGGAATAGGAAGAAGATAAAGATAAAAATTATGAACAACAAATACATAACTATCAACAAGTGAATCTAAAAACCAAGGGAATTAAAAAATCTGGTGAACAATATTAACTGGTGAATATAATAGAATTAGAGGTATGGAAGGGGAGTGGACTGAATTCTCGGTGAAAAGGGAAGTGGGAGTGTGGGAAGAGACTGATCAAAAACTGCACCTATGGATGAGGACAATGGGGGATAGGGAAAGGACAGAGGGTGGAGTGGGAACGTGGTGGAGGAGAGCAATTGAGGGGGGGAAGAGGAACACATTTGTAATAATCTGAACAATAAAGATTTATTTTAAAAAAATAAAATAAAATAAACTGTAAAAATAAATAAATAAATAAATAAATAAAAGCATTTTAGAATGGATAGTCATGTCCTATGCCAGTATCTTCCCAGACAAAGATCAACTTCAATCAGTACTGTGCATCTAAGATAACATATACCTGTGGATTGTCAGGGTAACTTGTAACTTCCTTTTCTGGGCCCTTCAGGGCACAAATCACAAATTCCTTTATTGTCAATTATCTTGTCAATTGTTGACTTTTAACTATCCTGTTACCCACCCAAGTAAAATAAATGTGTCTATCATTTTACTTTTTATCCAATCTGAGAGGTTTCCTCAGTTTGCTTACTTCTGCTTTCCTAATATATCACCAATGAATTTCATGTAACCCACTTATACTTCTCCTTTGGTTTTAATGTATAAAACAAAGTGAAAAACCATCATTCTCCAGAGCACTATCTCCACAGCTTGAGATCCTGTTTCCCAGCCATTGTCAATCAACAGTTTGGCTCAAATAAATTCACAAAAATTCTTTATAGGTTTCAATGTTTTTTGTTGTTTTTTATGTTGACAAAAGCAACATTTGGGAAATATTGGAACATTTGAAAAAGCCTAATAGAAAGTAAAAAATATCTGTAATTCCACCTCTCAGGAATAAACACTACCAACAGAACACCTTGGTATAGATCTTTTAAGTATGGGCAATTTTTATAATGCAGCATCCTTGTCACCAATGCTCGTGGATCCACTCCGTCTGATTACTGGGATTACAGTAGCATTCAGTCTCTAGATTTTTAAAATACCGGATTTCTATTTGCAATCTACCCCAGGCTAAACCCTTAATTAGTAGCAATTGGTGCTCAAGTGCTTCAAGCCAATGGCTTCTACATTTCATTATTTATGTCACCTATCACCTGGGGCAGCACTGGCACTCACAGGAGCTGGAGGGGCTGAAACTCTCAGCTGGCACTCATTAGCCTCCATTTTCCTCAGGAGTCAAGGGCTTAAACGTTTAGCTCTATGTGGAGAGACTAAATTGCTCTTCAAATGCAAACAAGGGGTTCATTTGAGGCTTCGGACTGTCTTAAGGGTAGAAAACCACAATTATCTATTTACTACTAATCAGACGTTTTATTCAGAATTCCATTTTGTGCACCACAAAATACTATTTTTCCTTTTTATTTAAGTAGATGCCTCCATTTTGAAATAATTAAGAAACCCAATTAAACTGATCCACTTCCAAAAGGTCATAATTCCAGTTCAGAAAGCTTGTTCCTAAGGAGTAAGTTCCTAAGGAATGTAGTTCATTCTAAGAGGTAACAAAACTTCACGCAGCCCAAAAGGTTTCCCTCTCATATGGGAAATAAAGCCAACACAGTTTGCCCTACTTGCTGGGATGGGTGAGGTTTTGTTTACACCTTCCTATTGGGCTAATAATCACCCTTCATTTTTATCTAAAACAGCTACACAAGTGATTGTGTGGTTCTGCTACTGGACGATAAGGCACTTTCAAAGAGGCCTGTGGGCTTTTGAACTTCCATGGAGGGTGGGAAGAAGTGTGAGGAGAGTAGCGGCTTTGGTTTCCACACAAACCTGCCCTTGTGCGTGTGCTGAGGAAGGCTGCACGGTCACTTGGAGGCGCCATGCCAGAAAGTAAACTAAAGAAGAGCATCCAAGTTGTGCCTAGACAACAGCGTTTTCCTAGATTACAGAAACTTTCCTATATTCAAGCTAAAAATGTCATTCACATTTTCTAGGCCACCAGCCCCACTACTAACTTTTGCTCCTACGTAACTACCAGTGGTCTCCTGCCTGAAAAATGCTTTTAAGTTTGGCAGGTGCCAGAGCTAGAAGGAGGTTTCTTTGTAAAACACTCTTCTCCTTCCCGCTCGTTTCCTGGGAGGATACAGCTGGTCCTAACCTCTGAATAAGTTCCCAGCGTGGGACTCCAGGACCTTGGGCCTGGACAGCCTCAGGAGCCCTGCCTACTCTCTGCCCTAGGCTCGCTCCCGCCCTTGAAAAACGCCCCTTCTTGCCTCTGACCTCCCGAGATGAAGCAATGAGAGACGCCTGTGCAAGGCTGTGCAGCCCAGGGGCCACCGCTGCCCAGGACCAGCGGCAGTTAAGGACGCAGCTGCCTCCCCTTCCTCCTCCTCTGCCTCTTGCCTCTTACCTGACTAGAGATTTGGCCAGGCTCCTGGCGGATAATTGAGGCCTCCATGGCCCGTTGTCCACGTGCCTGGTGCTGGGGCAGCCTCCTCGCGGGAGGAGATCACTTCCCCCGGCGACTAGCCCACTAATGATTCTGGGCCAGCAGCTGCAGCACGTACGCCCGGCGGCCCTTAAAGTGGCCTTGCCCTCAGGCCTGGCACCTGGGGAAGCAGCAGGAGGGTTAGGGCGAGGAGGGGAGGACTGCCGGAAGCGGGTAGGGGGATGTGGGTTGAGGGCAGGCGGCAGGGCTGCCTGAGAGGAGCTGCCCAAGGTGCTCTGGAGGGTCTTAGTGGATAGGACCCTGGGACTGGCCCATTCCCTGGGAGATGGATTACACAGACCTTAAAACTGCCGCTCCTTTGCCTCAGGCCTGTCTACTAAATATCGTATGAGTATCTTTCAAGTTTTAATGTTAGGTATTAGCAAACAGGTTTATTTTCTTTTCCTGGACAAACGTATGTGTAGGATAGGGAATGTGGGTGCTGCGTTCTTTCCGACCCTTACAAAAGTTGAAAATTGTAGAAGCATCTCATTTTGTCCTATGATTCAACAAATATTGTCCCTAGTGAGAAAGTGAACCAATAAGAAGTCTCCTAGAAGTGCTGCTATGCAACCCAATTTATTCAGCTTTCACTAGACATTTTTAAAATATATATATTTTATTGATTTCTTACAGAGAGGAAGAGAGAGGGCTAGAGAGTTAGAAACATCGATGAGAGAGAATCATCGATCTTGCACACCCCCTACTGGGGATGTGCCCGCAACCAAGGTACATGTCCTTGACCGGAATTGAACCTGGGACATTTTAGTCCGCAGGACGACACTCTAGCCACAGAGCCAAAAACGGTTTTGGCATTAGACATTTTATTGAAGTCTGTTGAGTGCCAGAATCTTTTGTAGGTCTTTACTGCTGCTCCTGATTTTCCCATTGCTAGAATGGAGGAGGTATGGGGGTGGGGGGGGGGGAGGGAAGGGAGAGAATGATATCTGATAGTGTTTGTCAGTTTGGATTGCCTAAACTCTTGATCTCACTTGAATCATCAATACCCCCTATCTCAGGGCAAAACTCCTGTATGTACTGAGGAGGTCCTGGTGTGTTTGGGGGGCTTGATTTAGATCTTGAGGACATGCAAAAATATTGAAAAATATTGTAGTTCTGCATTATTTTAATGGGTAAGGGTGCAGATAAATTTCTGATGAGATCATTCTGCATTATTTTTGAAAGTAAATGTACACGTTTTAATTAATATTGTTAACGAAAAAACCATTGAAACCTGTAAAGAATTTTTGTGAGTTTATTTGAGACATACTATAGACATACGCTGGGAAGCAGAACCTCAACAGATTGAGATAATGCTCCGAAGAATGGCGGGTTACGTTTCTATATTTATACATTGCAATCAAAGGAAAGGGACGTAGGTGAGTTACATGAAATTCATTGGTGATAGATTAGGGAGGTGGGACAGAGCGAAGTGGGGAAACCTCTGTGATAGGGTAAAAGGTGAAATGATGGACATTAGCTTCTTTTACAGAGATGGATACAGGATACTCTAACTTAATTAACAGCTGACAATTAATTTGATAACAATAACAATGAGGGAATGTCTCAGGGTCATTTGTTGTGACCTGAGGTCCAGGGTAAAAAGGAAGTGACAAGTTACCCAGACATCTCACAGATATGTTATCTTAGAGGCAGGAAGGCAAATGGGCTCAGTAAAGTAGATCTGATCTTTGTCAGATGAAATATCGGTCTAGGACATGACTACCCACTACAACCTATTTGTAGTTAGATATTTAATTTTCAAACCATCTTTTGTGGTTATTTTAGGTCTCTGAGTTTGCAAGACTGCCACGCAGGCCTCCCCTGAGCTTGTCAGGTTAGCATGTGGCTCTTTTCATTCATATATGTCTTGCCTACCACCTCACCTTTCAATTCAAAACTCTCATCACTTTAATTTCCACTCCAATTCCACAGCTTTATTCTCAATACTGTATTTAGAGTGGCTTCAGCTCAGAAATATTTAATTTAAAAACCATTGTCTATCTGAAAGGGTTAAAGAGAATAAAACAAGGCAGAGAAAGACTTACAGAGCTTAGCAGACATCTTGCAGAAATCTTGCATCCTTGAGTCCAGCATAGCTCAGATAACAGAAGACACCTGGCATGGGAGGACCCAGGATGGACCAGACCTGTACGTCAGCAGAGCAGCTTGCAGCCAGCAAGGATTAATAAAAACCTCCCTCTCCCTGCTCTCTTCGCTGATCCTTTCTCAGTCTCAGCCTACCTGCACCCAGATGCAAGGAATAACATCTTTTTTGACACATTATGGCCTATCATAGGTGTGTGGCCCTGGCCCACTCTGAACCTTTCATTACCAAAGCCCTACTTTATAAAATAGGATGTTGTCTGTGCAACAAGCAAAGGATGGCTGGGACCCCTGTGTATTATGTCAGAAATGTTCTTTGATAGCACTCTAGCAATTTGCTCTTTAGCTAGTTTCCAAATTTGTCTTCTAAGTTTAAACAGAACAAACTGGGAAGGGGTGGGAGTGTCCAGAGAACACTTTACTAGTCACCCTTTCCTCCAGTTAATAATCTCTAAGGTGACCAAACTATTTCTTCTTTTTTTTTTAATCAATCTTTATTGTTCATATTATTACAAAGGTTCCTCATTTCTTCCCCCCTCCACCAGGTTCTCACCCCACCCTCCATCCCCTCCCCACCCCCCATTGTCCTCATCCATAGGTGCAGTTTATGTTCAGTCTCTTCCTCCCTCCCTTCCCCCCCCCCCAGAACAGTCAGTCCACTCCCCTCCCATATCGCCGACTCTACTACAATGAACAGCTATTATTGTTCATCAGGTTTTTCAATCTCTTTTTTTGTTGTTATTGTTTTTTTTTTAATTAATAAACTTTTACACTTCTAAGAAGAATTTTTAAAATCTAATAATTTTAAACCTTGTTTTTTTTCTGCCCTGGGAATTGAGAGCAAACTTGTTTACATGTAAACTTGCCCTTAGGCTATCAAAAGGTGTTGCCATTCAAGTGTAAATGGACACATTATTTAAACATAGCTGCTGGTTGGAATTGGATTACCTGTTCTGGGTGGGAAGGGCTTGTCATTCCCTTTCTCCATTAAAATTAAGGTGTTAGCTTTAAAACCTCTTTTTGGCAAGAGACCTTAAACTTTCAGAACTTTAAATTTTTCAGATAGTAAACCAGTTACTTAGCATTTTCTCAATTCAATAATACCTCCACATGCCCAAGGATACACTTCACACAAAAGACATTTCCAAATAGATCGATCAACCTCATCCAGGCCCCACACAAGGCACTCACAGATCAACACCCCAGTGCTATACTAACTCAACACATCCAGATCTAAGCCTTCATCACTTGATTCAGCAGACCCTCAAGTTCCCCCAAAAGTTTCCAGCCATGTCTGAGAGGCAGCCTTGGGGCGGGGACAGGCGAGGAGCGAGCTGTTCCGGGCCTGGCTGCTCCGGGCCTGGCCTCTGTTGCTCTGGCCTGTTCCACAACCAGCTGCTCCGGCTCAGGCCATTGCCGCTCCCGACCTGGCCCCTCTCGGCCTGGCTGCTGCTCTTCTGGGCCTGGCTGCTCCTGACCCGGCTGCTCCGGGCATGGCCGCACCCGGCCTGGCTGCTGCTCCGGGCCCGGACACTCCGGGCCTGGCTGCACCCAACCCGGCTGCTCTGGGCCCGGCCGCTCAGGGTCTGGCCGTTCCCAGCCTGACAGCTGCTGCTCTGGGCCCAGCCGCTCCAGGCCCAGCCGTTCCAGGCCTGGCCGCACCCGGCCTGGCTGCTGCTGCTCCAGGCCTGGCCGCACCCGATCCGGCTGCTCTGGGCCCGGCTGCTCCCAGCCTGACAGCTGCTGCTCTGGGCCTGGCTGCTCCCAACCTGGGTTCTCTGGGCCCGACTGCTCCGGGCCTGGCTGCTCCAGGCTTGGTTGGTGCTGCTCCGGGCCTGGCCACTCCGGGCCTGGCCGCTCTCGGCCTGGCTGCTGCTGTTCTGGGCCTGGCTGCTCCCGACCTGGCTGCTCTGGGCTCGGCTGCTCCGGGCCCGGCCGCACCCAACCTGGCTGCTCTGGGCCCGGCTGCTCCGGGCCCGGCCTCCCCGGGCGTGGCCGCACCTGGCCTGGCTGCTGCTGCTCGGGGCCTCCAAACTATTTCTTTTTTTGTTTGTTTTTATTCCAGAGAGGGAGAGACAAAAAGTTCAATGAAGGAAAATCATTGATCAGCTGCCTCCTGCATGTTTCCCACCACGGATCGTGCCCGCAATCTGGGTATGTGCCCAGATGGGGAATTGAACTGTGACCTCCTAGTTCATGGGTCAATGCTCCACCACTGAGCAACACTGGCTGGGCAAAACTGCTTCTTCACATGACAACTTTTTGCATTTAAAGACATTATTTTTTGTTTTTAAATTTGATCTATGTTCTTAAAACATATTTTTAGTTCTAGCTGGTTTGGCTCAGTGAATAGTGTTGGCCTACAATATGAAGAGTCCCAGATTTGATTCCAGTTGGCACATGCCCAGGTTTCGGGCTTGATCCCCAGTGTGGGATGTGCAGGAAGCAGCTGATCAATTATTCTCTCTCATCATTAATATATTTTCCCCTTTCCCTTCATCTCTGAAATCATTTAAAATGTATTTTAAAACAAAACATTTTTTTAAATCTTTCTGGATATGTAAAATATATTGTGATTAGAAGAAAAATTTGGAAGCAAGCTACTTAAAAATAATGAAATGTTTTCTTTTAAGCATTTCTGTTGATAAAATGAATGCAAAATGGAAAAATTCATTAGGAAATCCATTTTTTAAAAAGCCTAGACTTGAGTTTGCCAAGAAGAGTCCAGAAAACTGGTTTCTGATATATATATGCCAGATTATGATTTCTGAACGCATAATAATCTGACCACTCAGTGTATATCCTATATAATAAAAGACTAACATGTAAATTGTCCCCTTGATCAAGAGTTCGACAAGCAGGCAGGCAGGCCGGCCAACCGCCCATGTCCCCTCCCCCTGGCCAGGCTGGCTGGACTCCACCCATGCACAAATTCATGCACTGGGTCTCTAATATACATATATATATATATATATATATATATATATATATATATATATACACACACACACACACACACACACACACACACACACACTCTGAGTGGCCAGATTATTATGCAGAGATCATAATAATCTGGCCACTCAGTGTGCGTGTATGCGTGTGTGTGCGTGTGCGTGTGTCTGTAATGGAAGAGATAATGGAAGAGAGATGGAAGGACAGAAATACTGATGTGAAACACATCAATTTGTTGCCTCTTGCATGCACCCTCACCAGGGCCCTGGCTGAGGAGGAGCCTGCAACTGAGGTACATGCCCTTGACCTGACTTGGACCAAGGACCCTTTGGTCCACAGGCCAATGTTCTACCCACTGAGAAAAACCAGCTAGGGCCATTTTCTGGCTTTTAGCTAACAATTCCTAAGGCTGGCTTAGGCATATAGACAGAAAGACAATAGCTCATATTATCATCAAAACCTAGCACTTACGATCTATTTGCTATCATCTTGGGATATTTTCTATCATCAAGCCAATGGAACTATAATTAAAAATACTCATATTAGGAGCTGGAATCAGAGGAAATCTATAAAGATCATTTATCCTTCCCTACCTCTGTTTAGTCTGGCCTAACAACTACTCTCCTGTGTACAGTCCTTCCTTTTTGAGGCTAGTGTGTGACCTCTTCTTTCATACTATTCTCTTCCATCTTGCGAGTTACTTAACTTCTCTACAGCTCAGTGCACTATTCTATAAAATAAAGACTATAATAGTATACATAGTATACACCTCATAGGAATGTGAGAGGTTAAAATTAATTGATATAAAAGCACTTGGAACACTACTGATTCATAGTAGTGAGAGGAATTAGAAACAGGGTTAGAAAGATAGGGTAAGGGTTGAAAAGAGGGAGGAAATATGGATGTTAACTGTTGGAGCCAGCTGAAACCACAAGAATGCTAGTTTTGTAGGAAAACAGGATGCCATAAGAATGCTTATAAGGATAGGAGGTTACAAGAGATGGGGAGGAAGAGAAAAAAGAGGAGGGGGGCATGAGATGGATTTTAAAATTGTTAATGGACAAAGAAGATAGAAGGAACCAATCAGAGAATGACATAGACAAAGTATGGGTCCACAGCAAATAAAAACCCCTAGACAAATAAGCTTTGATGACAACCCATTCTCAGGTCTTCCCCTCATGTGGGGAGTTTGTTATTTGCTTATGATAAATTTCCATACTTTTGCTTAAAACTTCTGCTTTACTGCTTTAGCTAGAATGTTTGTTTTCAGCCATGGGACTCAGTCTGCAAGGGGTTCTTCTTGGGTCTCTAGCCTACTGACATTCAAAATGGAACTGACACCATGGGCTCTTCTGATTCTCAGACCTTCAGACTTGGACTAGAACAAACATACCAGCTCTCCTGGCTCTTCAGCTCACTGACTGCACATCCTTCAGATATCTCAGCCTCCATAGTTATTGGGTGTTATATTAAATCAATGTGTGAGTGTGAGTGTGTGTGTGTGTATGTGTACAAAAGAAATATCAAAATATCCAAACCTGTAGAGAGATTTTGAGTTTATGTGAGCCAACTGATGACGATTGCAGGAAAAAAATTTCAACCGATTGAGAAAATACTCTGGAGAATAGCAATTTTACTGTTTATTTAATACATCAGAATACAAGGAGAAGACATTAAGGGAGGGTTATATAAAATCCATTGGTGATAGATTAGGGAGGCAGGAAAAGACAAAGCAAGGAAATCTCTAGAACTGGATGAAAAGTAAAATGGAGAGAGACATACTTCTTTTACATTGGTGGGTAGATAACAATTCACATTTATAGCACATAGATGGTATTAGGGGAAGAAGATAACAATGAGGGGTTCTGTGGTCTCAGGTGATGGTGGGCAACAGTGCCCTGAGAGATCTAGAATATAAGAGATTACTCTGACATTCCAAAGGCATGTCATCCTAAATGCAAAAAGGCAATAGACAGGCTCAATGAAGGTGAAGACAGAGCTTTGTCAAGGAAGATACTGGTCTAGGACATGACTTTCCACCATGACTCGCTTTTAGTTAAGAATTTTTATGTTCAGACCATCCTTTGTGGTTACTTTCTGTCTCTGAGTTTAAAATGCTCACCATGTAAGCCTTTCCTGGGCTTGTCAGATTTAGTGTGTGGCCCCTTATTCATTATACACACACACACACACACACACACACACACACACGTATACATGTACATATATATTCTGTTGAGCTCTAATATAGAAGCTGTTCTTATCCAAATTTTGTCTAGCTGTTACTCTGAAAAGGCAAACTACAACCAACTTAACAGTAATGAGGCAAAACAATCATCTAGATACTTGCTGACAAAACCAATTTTGCTGACCTCTGGTCTAAGGATACTTTTTAAACTTTAAGCTCCACTATTTGTCATTCCATTTCTTAAACAAGGCAGAGACTGAAAGCTATTTACCAATTCAATTCCTTGGCCTTAGGGACAGACTCCACCAATTTTGAGTTCCCAAAATACAAACCAATGAATATATTTGAGACTAAGTAATTCAGGAACAGTTTGTTCAAAAAGTGCATTATTTAGACAGTTTCAAATAAGGTCTAATAAATTAAAGGCCATTGGAGGTTCAAAAAATATTAGAATGGATGATAGCTATAAAAACCAATGGCAATCTTTCAAAATCAATAAACAAAAATAAAATGCTATTATTTACCTACATATCTGTAGCTTATATGTCTGTGAATATCTTGTCTTCTGCCAAAGCAGAAACTGTGATGCCCACTCACCACAGATTAAGCCTAATGTCTTCACATTTATTACATTAATTATAAAAGCTTTTCTTTCTAATAATTTAATTTATTGGCTTTTTCATATATAAAATTCCAATGACTAAATTCCAAAATAAAAATATACTTATCATCCATAAACTCAATACTGTTTATATTTGTTTTTATAAAAGTTTTGGAAAAACTTAAAGAAATAGATATGGCAAAATTATTTCTTAAAGTATTTTTTTTTTGCCCAAATTAAGCTGATTAATAATCACTGCAAATTTTAATGCAATACTAATCATACCCCCTAATTTCCCAGGTTCTTACTAGGTTAATACAAGTTGAAATCCAGAAGACTTATTATTCAATCTGTATTCATTTTAAGTCTAAAAGACCAACTCATTTGCTAATGAAGAGTAAGCTACTAAATAATTTCATAAACCTTTTTTTTTCTCCATTGGTCTGTACCCTGTTTTGAAAAAGTCTTTTTAAATGTTATCTGAGAATTATTTTAGTTTAGGAATATAGTTTTTGTTTAGCTTACATACTGGAAATACTGACAAATACCTAAAGAAATGCATAATTAATGTAAAAAGAGAAAATAAGATTTTAAGTCATTCCTTCCCAGTACAAATAAAATTAAGGTTACTAAATGCCAAATTTTATATAAATATATAATATCCTACTTTGCTTTCTGAAGGATAGCAAATACAAAAACAGTTTAACATTAGATTTAATGAGGGCACATGAATTATTAGTCTTAACTGCAAAAATATTAGCCACATTTAGAAAAAAATAAACTATAAGAATATAACTACATTTCTAAAAGCCAGAAGAAAGAATACCAATTATTTTCCTTATAAGTAGAATACATGCCATAAAACTTATTAAACAGTCAATCTGTAGAAATGAATACATTTAAAAACTACTGGTTAATCCATGGGGAATTTCACATTTGCCTATCAACACAACTACATCCATCTTCGAAGTATTTGGTATAGGTGATTCATAGCATATCCATCACTTATCTTTCTTCTTTGCTTCATTCTTCTTGAGTTCCTCTGTCTGATCATCCTTCGCCCCCTTCATATTTACATTTGCTCCCCCTGTTTGGTTTCCCTCCTTTGAATTATCAACTATTTTATAGTCCTCAAGGATTGTATGTCCGGTTTGTTTAGCAGTTTTCTTTACCATTGCTTTGATGCCAATGTTATCAATATTATAGGCAGTTAAACCAACATTGATGGCAGAATCTACTGCATCGTGTGTAGCTTCTCCTGCAGTATGTCCATATCTTTAAAATAAAGATTAGAGAAAGTACAATGACATTATAAATATAAATTAAAGTCTTCTGAATAGTCACACGATTAGCATTTTATCACTGAAAGTAAAATCAAAGGTTAGGTTTCAATTTAATTAGTAACTTAAAACATAGGAAAGAATAAAATCATACTGTATAAGGCTGTATTTTCTCCTTTAGCAAAAATTGTGTGTGAAAACAAATTCTAGATTAACTGAAATTACTGTAATATTGTTTATGTCCTAGCTAGTTTAGCTGAGTGGATAGAGCATCGGCTATGGACTGAAGGGTCCCAGGTTCTATTTTGGTTAAAAGCACATGCCCAGGTTGCAGACTCCATCCCAAGTGGAGGAGCATGCAAGAGGCAGCCAATCAATGATTCTCATCATTGATGTTTCTCTCTCTCTTTCCCTTCCTCTCTAAAATCAACAAAAAAAAAATTTAAATAATTTTTTAAAAGATTGTTTATGTTGAAAATAAAATTTCTATATATAAAAGGCTAAGTGTCCATCTGACCAGTAGCAATGACTCGTACTGACCACCAGAGCCCAGATGCTCAATGCAGGAGCTGTCACTATGCACACTGAACATTTAAAAATAAATGGCACCACGGACCTGGCGTCAACAAAACAACACTCAGCTTCCCCCAAGTGAGACACAGGCCCCGCCACCACCCCACCCAGAGCGACACACCATCAAGTCGCCGCCAACACTGCCAAGACTCCATGGCGCAAAATACACCTCATAGCCCAGCCCCGCCTGGAAATTGTCACTGTGGGTGCCAGGTAATGACATCACGCAGGAACGCCCAGCTTCCTCTCCCTATCAACTAGCCTCCTTGGAGTTTCTTCAACCCAGGAACCCAACTTGCTTTATAGCCAGGTGCAAATATTTTACAGTTTAACCAAATGTCTGTGAAGCATTTTCACGTGCCTCATCCCATTTGATCCTCACAGAAGTTCTGGAATAGGTAGATAGGAGACTCAGTAGAATCCTGTTTTCTATTCATTAGCCAGAAAACAGAGATTTAGAAAGTTTAGAAACTTGACCTGACTGAAAAGAAATGGAGAAACGAAGATGGCAGCATAGATAAACACCTAAACTGCTGCCTCCCGTAACAATTTCAAAACTAAAACTAAACGACAGAATGAACATCATCCAGAACCACAGGAAAGCTGGCTGAGTGGAAATTCTATAACTAGAAACAAAGAGGAAAGCTCAGAGATCAGAACTGCAAAAGACTAAGGTAGGGAGACATGCTGAGTGCCTGGATGATGTACTTTGGTGGGAGAGGGAAGAAAGCCCCTGACTGCACTGAAGCCCAATTCCAACTGCATTGAACCCCAGTTTTTGGTGAAAGGCCAGGCTCATATGGAGGGGAATCTGGACTCTCAGGTAGAGAGAGAGGCACACGGAGACTTGGAGAGGAAGTCGCGGCGGGCAGGGGTCTGGAGGTGCTTACGTATGAGTGCACGCATGACTGACTACTGAGGCTGCTGCTAGTTCTTCCTAGTGGAAGCGAGTCAGAAGCTCCTGACTACACTGAATCCCAGTTCCGACAGCACTGAACCCCAGTTCCGTGTGAACCTGGGGGAATCTGGACTGTCAGACGGAAACTCAGGGAAGCCTGGAAGGCAGAAGTCTGAAGGCGCAAGCCCAAGGGCAAGGCTGACGGGAAGCCACGACCTTCTACACAGCTCTGAGACTCTGCCCCATCAAAGCTGAGCACAGAGGCTTTTGCAATGTTGCAAGTCTGGTCCTATCAAGCTATGTCCAGCACAGGTCTCCTGACATAGACACAGCTGATACATATAGCCAATTGTCCTGGAGGTCAATTCCTCCCAGAGATACCAACAACAATTAAAACTTAACTACAACTAGGCTGTACACACAGACCACAAGGTGGTGTATCAAGAGCGTCCACCTCAGGTGACTGGGAAGGCTAACCTTCTGGGCCATATATAAGGTGATCAGACGTCCAACAATTTGTCCCACGTCCCACAGTGTTTTAAAAAAGTCCCAATATTGGCTTGATCCAAGATGGCTGCTCGGGTAGACATCTAGCCGCGGCAGCACACAACAATTTCAATGGAATACAACTAAAATGTAGAGTGGACATTGCCCAGAGCTACAGGGAGTCGACTGACTGAAATTTCTACAACAAGAAGGAAAGAGAAAACCAGAAAGAAAATCAGAGGAGCTGAAAAAAAGCCTAAGGTACGGAGACATGCTGCGCGCGCCTGCCCGCCCGCACGCGCGCACGGAGAGGTCGCAGCCGGAGAGGAGGAGAGGGCGGGGAGCCGCCTTTCCTTCCCTAGCAGGAAGGAAATAAAACCCCCAGCCTGGGCTGAACCCCCGAACCGGCAGCGCTGAGCCCCAGTTATGGGCCAGACCCTGGTTACCCAGGCCCCGGTGAGAGGAGACAGGGCCGTGAGGCGGAAAAACGGCGAAAGGCAGGGCCCCGGGAGTCGCGCGCAATGCGCGCAGAGGACTGAATGCTGACTCTGATGCTGGGTTGCCCTAACCGGAAGAAACAAGGCCTCCGGCGGCGCTGAGCCTCAGTCCGGACTGCTCCGAACCCCAGTTCTGGGCTAATCCCTGGGGACCCAGGCTCAGGCAGAGGGAGACGGGGCTGTGAGGTGGAGTCCGGGGAGAGCGGCGAAAGGCCGGGCCCCCGGGACTCTCGCAAACTGCGCGCAGAGGACAGTCTGTGGGACTCGCGCAAACTGCGCGCAGAGGACAGTCTGTTGACTCTGATGCTGGACTTCCCTAGCGGGAAGGAGAAAAAAAAAAGCTCTAGGCTGGGGGAACGCGGAGGGGAGCGGAAGCCCCTGCCGGACTCCAGCCAACCAGGCACCAGCAAGGAGGCGGGCCACGGGGCCCCTGGGAGCCTGGGTGCCCCTGAGCCTTTGACCACTGAGCTCTGGCAATGGAGCCAAGGCCGGGGGCTGCTTCCTGGGCGGCGCCGCCGTCCCGGCAACAGGCTGAAGCAGCACAGGAGCCCGCGGAGAACAAAGGGGTGCCACAGGCCAACCTGCTGAGCTCCCAGGACAAGGAGGAAGAAACCAAAGAAGTTCTCAATGTGAAGAAATCAAGTGAGAGCAAAAAATAGTAAAATTACTTAAGAAAGAATACAAAGAAGATCTTGAAAAATCAAAGACTAAGTCAGAACTCAACTCACCAGCCAACATTGCAACATAAATGCGTTTTAAAAAGAAAAAAAAAGGACAGAATGTTGGAACAGCGACGGCCAGGCCTAGAATGGCCAGGCACAAGGCAGTGGCAGCCAGGCCCGGAGCAGCAACGGCCAGGCCCCAGAACAACAGCAGCCAGAACCAGAGCATCAACAGCCAGCACTGGAGTAGCCAGACCTGGGGCAGTGGCAGCCAGGCATGAGACGGAGGCGGCCAAGCCCAGGGTGGCCAGTCCAGGAACACCCAGACCCGGAGTGGCCGGGCCCGAAGAAGCCGGGCCCAGAGCAGCCGGGGTGGGAGCAGCCAGACCCAGAACAGCAGTAGCCAAGCCCAGAGCATCCAGGTCGGGAGTGGCCAGGCTCGGAGCGGCCGGGCCCGGGGCAGCCGGGCCCAGAGCAGCCGGGTCAGGTGCAGCCAGGCCCGGAGCAGCAGCTGCCAGGCTGGGAGCGGCCAGGACCGGGGGAGCAGGCGGGTCGGGTGCGGCCAGGCCCGGAGCAGCGGCTGCCAGGCTGGGAGCGGCCAGGCCCGGGGGAGCAGGCGGGACTGGTGCGGCCAGGCCCAGAGCAGCGGCTGCCAGGCTGGGAGCGGCCAGGCCCGGGGGAGCAGGCGGGTCGGGTGCGGCCAGGCCCAGAGCAGCGGCTGCCAGGCTGGGAGCGGCCAGGACCGGGGGAGCAGGCGGGTCGGGTGCGGCCAGGCCCGGAGCAGCGGCTGCCAGGCTGGGAGCGGCCAGGACCGGGGGAGCAGTTGGGTCGGGTGCGGCCAGGCCCGGAGCAGCGGCTGCCAGGCTGGGAGCGGCCAGCCCCGGGGAAGCAGCCGTGTCGGGTGCGGCCAGGCCCGGAGCAGCGGCTGCCAGGCTGGGAGCGGCCAGGCCCGGGGGAGCAGGCGGGTCGGGTGCGGCCAGGCCCAGAGCAGCGGCTGCCAGGCTGGGAGCGGCCAGGCCCGGGGGAGCAGGCGGGTCGGGTGCAGCCAGGCCCGGAGCAGCGGCTGCCAGGCTGGGAGTGGCCAGGCCCGGAGCAGCAGCAGCCAAGTCCAGAGCAACTAGGTCGGGAGCGGCAGTGACCAGACCCGGAGCAGCTGGTAGTGGAATGAACCAGAGCAACAGAGGCCAGGCCCTGAGCAGCCAGGCCCAGAACAGCTCGCTCCTTGCCTGCCCCTGCCCCACGGCTGCTTCTCAGACATGGCTGGAAACTTTCGTGGGAACTTGAGTGTCTGCTGAATCAAGTGATGAAGGCTTAGATCTGGATGTGTTGAGTTAGTTTAGGACTGGGGTGTTGATCTGTGAGTGCCTTGGGTGGGGCCTGGATGAGGCTGGTTGACCTAGTGGGAAATGTCTTTTGTGTGAAGTGTATCATTGGGCATGTGGAGGTATTATTGATATGAGAAAATGCTAAGTAACTGATTTACTATCTGAAAAGGGATTTACTATTGGGGAAATTGAGGGAAGAAGAGACTGAACATAAACTGCACCTATGGATGAGGACAATGGGGGATGGGGGGGGGGACGGAGGGTGGGGTGGGAACCTGGTGGAGGGGGGAAGAAATGAGGAACCTTTGTAATAATATGAACAATAAAGATTGCTTTAAAAAATAAAAAATAAAAAAAAAATAAATAAAAATAAAAAGTCCCAATATTTGGAAAGATTAAAATCGGGACTTATTTATTTTTAATATATTTTATTGATTTTTTATAGAGAGGAAGAGAGAGGGATAGAGAGCTAGAAACATTGATGAGAAAGAAACATCGACCAGCTGCCTCCTGCACACCCCTTACCGGGGATGCGCCTGCAACCAATGTGCATG